GAGCAGTGTACATCCCCTGTGTTCTGAACGGGGCAGATGTGATGTCCAGGGACGGTCCACGTCACGGGGACTGGACCCTCTATCCAGAGCTGATGGCTCAGACGTGGCAGAAATTGAGCAAAGCGGCTGTGGACCTGTTTGCAACACGAGAGAATACTCAGTGTCAACTATGGTTCTCACTGAGCCTGCGGGACGAACCACCGCTAGGGGTGGACGCGTTTGCTCACAGCCTGTGGCCCAAAATGCTTCTTTACGCACTTCCCCCACTCCCTCTGATATCACGGTTTCTGAACCGAGTTCAGGAGGAGGGACTGACAGCTCTCCTGGTGGCTCCAGAGCGCGTGAACGCCCCATGGTTTCCAGTTCTACGACACCTGTTATCGGGGCGCCCGTGGAAACTGCCGTGGAGGGAGGATACTCTCCTCCAGGCGGGAGGAGCGCTCTGGAGTTACCCAGAAATAGGCCAGCAGCTTTGAGTCTGGCCGCTGAAAGGATCCGCTTAGAGAGGATGGGTCTCTCTCTAGATGTAGTGTAAACGATCCAGGATTCACGTGCTGCATCTACCACAGTGCTGTACCCATCAAAGTGGACAGTTTTTCAGCGCTGCTGTACGGAGAAAGGTGTAGAGGCCACCTCATGTCCACTAGGTGGTGTGCTGTCCTTTCTACAGCAGCTGATGGACAGAAATCTGGCATTCAGCACAATTAAAACGTATGCTGCAGCCATCTCTTCTTGTCACGAAGGTTTCGGGGACAGAACAGCTTTTAATCATTCGCTGATGAAGCGTTTTTTAAAAGGTGTACAGAGACACAGGCCTGTTTTCACGCCCACTTGCTCCACAGTGGGATTTAACGCTGGTCCTGCGAGCCCTGATCAAAGTTCCATTCGAGCCACTAGATCAGTTTCCGATTAAATTCTTGTCTCTTAAAACAGCCCTGCTGTTGGCTTTAGCATCCGCTAAGAGGATGAGTGATTTATCTGCCCTCTCTGTCGCTTCGTCATGTCTCAGAACTTAGGCTGATGGCAACTCAGCTGATCTGAGGCATAATCCAGCGTTTTATGCCTAAACATCACAAGCTCTTTAAATCAAGAGCGATTTCATTGGAGGGATTATTTCCCTCCTCCTCACAATCAGAAGAAGAAGCATCTTACCATCTTCTCTGCCCTGTACGTGCGTTGACGTGGTACGTAACACACACGGTGGCATTGCGTCAGACTCAACGTTTATTTGTGCATTATAGAGATGCATTTGCAGGTCACCCGTTATCCACCCAATGCCTGTCACACTGGCTGTGTGAGGCCATTTCTGAAGCCTACAGAGCATCCGATTTAGAGCCTCCTGACAACCTCAGGGCGCACTCGACCAGAGGTATCGCATCTTCGACTGCTTTGCATAATGGTATGTCAATGCAGGATATTTGCACTGCGACCGTGTGGTCAACACTAGGGACGGGGCAGATCCGATCCAGTATCGGCCTCCGATACCAGCATAATTTACGTATCGGATTTTCCGATTCCTCCTGCCGATATTTCCGATCCATGATGCATGTTGGCTTCAAACTATGGAATGGATTTCCTGAACGGCGGCGTGTCTCATGAGCCCAGAGTAATAAGACCCGCCTCACATTCAGGAAATCCAGTTCATAGTTTGCAGCCAGCTACAACGTGAGGACTGAGTTAGCAGCACTGTGGCTAACAGCTAACAAACTTTTCATCTAAACATGTCTGCTGTGTGGAAGTATTTTACACTAAAAACACCACAAAACAAGACAGCATCGTGCAATGTCTGCAGAGCCATAGCGCCACATTAAACCGCAGTAAAGTTAGTTTTACGATGGACATTCGAGCTCCGTGGCTTCAGCGGGGCACTGCTCTTTGGTCAAACCGAAAGAGGTGACTCGACACTGGCCAGCCGCGTCCAATCTGCCCCGCTCAGTCTGCCCGTCTCTGAGGAGGGACAGACTGAGCGCGGCTGCCCCAAATCAGGCTGCTTGCTTCGGATTGAACAAGAAGTAGACGTCGCTGAAACCACGGAGCTCAAATGTTTACAAACAAGTTACCAAACTTCATCATAATTAGTGACCAACCACTATCAGTTGTAGAAAAGGAAGGATTTCTGAGCTTGATACTTGCAGCCAAGATATAGTTTACCCTCCAGGAGATATTTATCAGTACAACAGTAGACAATCATAAAAAACATGATTTGAAAATTATATATATTAAAAACATAAACAGCTACATTATAAAGTGATGTAAAATACTAAAAACAGGAACATGTCTGTTGGTTTATGCCATGAACTTAGCAGGTGTTTGAAGCCATTTAACATTTTATTTAATTTACTTATTCATTCATTTAAATGAAACAAAATAAAAAAAATAAAAAAATCAAAAAGAAAACATTGAATGAAAAGAGTGCAGAAAGAAGAAAAAAAAAATCTTATATCTGCCCCTTATAAAATAGAAAACAACTTTAAACAATCACTTAAATTAATCACTTTAATATCCACTTTAAAACTAGGAATAAAAAGAAACATGTTTTGTGTTAGCAGAATTTAATTCTAACTTTAAAACTTATCCAACATTAATAAAACTTACCTCAAGTTGCCTTTTTGGACATGCATGCATATATTTGTACAAATTGTACTTGAGAGGAGATTATTACAGCTTCATAAAATCAATGATGATCATGATATCGGAACTGGATCGGTATCGGCCGATACTCAGGTCTAGGTATCGGGATCGGATCGGAATTTTAAAAAGTGGATCGTGCATCCCTAGTCAACACCCTGTTCATTTATTCGCTTCTATTTACGTGATGTGACGGCTCGTTCCATGACACATTCTGTCCTTAGTGCCTTAACAGGATGAATATTGTTGTTTCATAGAATCTCATTTTAACTCACATCTGACTGCATGCATTTACAGTTTGAGATGTTATCAGTCACAGGGTATGACTGTTGTTCTTGTTCTATGGTTATTAATCAGTTCATGACTACTGTCATCAATCAGTTCATTTGATTAATAATCAGTTCATTTATTATTAATCTGTTCATATTGAAGAGCCGTGGATCTGCTCTGTTCACTGTCTTTTTTTTTTTCCAACCTCTCCTCTTTTCTGTTGAAAACCTTTCCGAGGCGTTCATGCACTCGGAACGCGTAATTACACAATGCTTATTTATGCACATGGAGAGCTGAGTGACAAGATGTTGTTTTTGGGCAAGCGGGCGCTTCTTATGGTGTTCGAATGGACCCAGTGAGGCGGAGACTACATCTGCTTCACCCTTAACCCACTAAGCGACAGCTCTTAAAGGGCGAAGCCTATACGAAATAGAATGTTGGTTACGTATTGTAACCCCAGATTCTATGAGTATAGGCGTAGCCCTTAAAGCGTTGGGCCTCACTGGCTCCTAAACGGCTGAAGAAAAAGCTATTTGGGAGCCGAATACCCACTCTTAACGTAATTTATATGGACTGGGTGGGGCCTACACAATAGGTGGGCGTGGACTAAATTTTTTCAGTGCGAAGCTTTGCATGACGGGATAAACCCACCAGTGACAGCCTTAAAGGGCTACGCCTATACTCATAGAATCTGGGGTTACAGTACGTAACCAACACTCTTTAAATTATTTTTCAAAGGTTAGAAATAAGATCAATTTGTAAACAACAGTAAAATAAAACTCACTCAGACACGAGCAGC